CCCGTTCCAGTTTAGGAACGGCCCGTTCCAGATTAGGAACGGCCCGTTCCAGTTTAGGAATGGCCCGTTCCAGGTTAGAAATTTTAGGTCTTTTTGGAAGGTTGAAACGACCCGTTCCAATTTGGAAACGGCCCGTTCTGGGCTACTAAAATCATATGAAAATTACTAAATTGCCCTCCATAAAAATATAAAAAATGAGGTGTTACATTTGGCTTCCATATTTTGTCTTTTTTATTCTTTCTTGTATATACCTTTTTTGCTATTTTTCAAAAAAACATTGATATTTTCCAGAAGAAATTGGGTTACTACAGTTGTCCCTCTTTACTTAATTTTACTAGATAATATAAACAACTCTTGTTTCCATATTATCGTAGTAAAATATAAGTAAAGAAAACACCAATTTCGTCTAAGACAAAAGTTGCATGTATTCACCACTTAGAGAAAAGATAGTCACGAGATTTTAGCATAAATTGGAGAATATAAGATCTAAAAGCAATAAGAATAGTAGACTCAGGTTCCAAACTGTTGAGAGTTAAGAGCACGGGGGCTTGAAATGTGAAAGTAGTGAACTCGGAGATCCAAAGGTTTAAGAGTTATGAGTGTGAGGACTCAAAATATGAAAATAGTGGACTCCGGGATCCAAAATATCGAGATTTATGAGCGCGGGGACTCAAAATATAAAAATAGTGGACTCGGGGATCCAAAATATTGAGAGTTATGAGCGCAGGACGATAATGAGTTTAACTTGAAGGATGATAGAGTGTTAAGATTTAAGGATAAGGTATGCATACCTAGTGACCTTGAACTCAAGAAGTTGATATTAGAAGAATAACATAGGAGTAAGCTTAGCTTCCAGTCGGGAACCCATAAGATATATTAGGATCTTAGAAAAATGTTTTGGTGGCCTAGAATAAAAAGAGATATAACTAAGTTCGTAGGTACTTGATTAGTGTGTCAATAAACCAAAATAGAGAATCAAAAATCGTAAAATTTATTGCAACTTTTGAGTGTGCCTTAGTGGAAGTGGGATAATATTTCTATGGACTTCGTAAATGGGTTTCCTAGGACCGTGAAGGGGTTGGATTCCATTTGCATTATAGTGGATAGATTGATTAAGTCTATTTACTTCATCCCTATTAATACAAGGCATTCCTTAGATAAGTTAGTCAACATCTACATTAATGAGATTATTAGATTGAATGGCGTGGTCTAACATTGTTTTTGATAGAGATCCTAGGTTTATCTCGAGATTTTAGGGGAGTCTTCACCAAGCTCTGGAACCAAGCTTAGGCTAAATTCAGCTCATCACCCACAAACTGATGGCTAGATTGAGAGAACCATTCAATCATTATAGGACCTACTTTGAGCTTATACGCTAGAGCAAGGGGTAGTTGGGATAGCTTCATGTCTTTAATTGATTTCACTTACCACAATAGTTACCATTTCAGTATTGGGATGACATCCTATGAAACCCCGTATGGGAGGAGGTGTAAGATACTATTATGTTGGTATGAACCTAGTGAGAACCTTGTGCTAGGGCTTGATGTAGTACAACCAGTGTTTTAAAACTCGGACCGACCCGGCCGGTCGGACCGGTTGGACCGGGAACCGGTGGTCCAACCGGTCCGAATCTGAAGTTGGATCGGTTATGCAGTCGACCCGTTTCAAACCGGATTGAACCGGTCAATTTTCCGGTTCAACCGGTGAACCGGTGGGTCAAACCGGTTCAACCACTTTTTTTAAATTTTTTTTTTTAAATTTTTTTAAGGGACCATAAATCACAAAAATAATAATAAAAATTGAATCTCTTAATGAAAAAGCAGGGAGTCTTATTAAATATAACAATGACTACTTGTTCTAATATATTTGTTTGCAATATATACAACTTAAATAACTTTTATAGTATATTATTAATTTTAAATTATATATTTAATAATGCAATATCTATGTAAATATTACATATATTATTTTGTGATATTAATTGCAAGCATATTATATATGTACATATTATTTATATTTTTAATTTGTATTAATATAATAAATCACAAAAATAATAATGAAAATTGAATCTCTTAATGAAAAAGCAAGGAGTCTTATTAAATATAACAATGACTACTTGTTCTAATATATTTGTTTGCAATATATACAACTTAAATAACTTTTATAGTATATTATTAATTTTAAATTATATATTTAATAATGCAATATCTATGTAAATATTACATATATTATTTTGTGATATTAATTGCAAGCATATTATATATGTACATATTGTTTATATTTTTAATTTATATTAATATATTGTTTAACATGTAATTTTTTTATGTATTTTTTTACAAAATAAAAATAAAAATAATTTTAAATAATATAGAAAAATTAAAATTTAAAATAAGATATGAATTTATTAAAATTTATAAGTATAAAATATATTTAATATGAATATTTTTTAATAAAAATAAATAAAAATCGAGTCATGCGGTTCAACCAGTGACCCACCGGTTCAACCTTTGACCCACTGACCCAGTACCTTAACCGGTTCGATGACCGGTCCGGTTTTTAAAACTATGAGTACAACAGATTACAAAAAAGGACAAAATGATACTAGATAGGATGAGAGTAGCTCAAAGCAGGTAGAAGAGTTATTTAGATAGGAAGAGGAAGAACTTAGAATTTCAAGAGAGTAATCATGTATTCTTAAGAGTCACTTTGTGGACTGGGATTGGTAGAGCCTTGAAGTCTAAGGTGCTTACCACTCATTTCCATTACTCGTACCAAGTACTTAAAAGAGTCAATGAAAATTATGAAAAAGACAATTACATTGAATATATTGTTGGAGAACTTATTTTTTATCCAACCATTCAAACAACACTTTGATTTGGACAGAAAATTTTGTTGTAGAATATATCCGCTCAATATATAATTTGTTGTAGAGCTTATTCACTTTATATATAAGGTTATCTTAAAAATCATATCTAACTATAATTTTTTTATCCATTAACATATATAAAAATCACCTCTTCCCCTTTTATCCTCATTAATTAACTTGAATTTTTTTTACCCTTTTTAACTTATAAATTATTTTTCATACATTTTATTCTCTCACTCTCATTATTAAATAAATAAATGTCATTCTACATTATTTAACTAATTTTATCAAATACTTCTAATTCAATCAATTAATTTATAAACTTTCAACTTTTCAATTTCTAACTTAACTCTTTTAGTCAATTTATAAGCTAATTTTATGCAACACACCCTATTAGTGTCCGTCACGATATGAATTAACCTTTCAACTTTTCCCTCCATTTCATTTTCCCGTCTCCGTTGTTACAAGTGTTGGTTAAAATACAAGATACTAAGCAAGCAACTAAGTTGAACCAATGTCCTTGTTTATTTTTTCTTTTGGGTAGTAGTACATTGTCTATGTTTAAAATTTGTACTGCAACTGGAGACTAGAGTAGCGTGAGTAATAATAAGTCGTCACTAGATATAAGTCCCGCAAAATATAGAAATAACTTTTGAGCAGTGTCAAAAACTCATATCTAATGCCAAAAAGTTAAATTTGTGTGTGATTAACTCCCCGTATTCTACCTTCCTTTCATTGTATAATTAATCAGCTCCGATGATAGACAAGTATAGAGATATAGTGAAATTGGTGTGTAAGAAACTCACGTGAAAATCTCCCTGGTGTCCCTAACGCCTTCAAAAATTTTAATTCAATCATTTGTCGTTTCCAGAGACAATTGTGGATCTCAATCACAATGAATTAAAAATGTATCAACTATAAGGACAATTAGCTGACCACGTATAACAAACAAATTCGGGAAATATTACATCTGTACAAAAAGTAGACTATCACACTGTACTGATCATAATTCACAAATTTTGTAAAAAAACACTACAGAATTAACATGACTTCACGAACTACATATTCTAATCTATGCAGGCGTGAAACGTTACCCCGATCAATCTATATACTATAAAACTAATTCCTTCCTCTAATATTGTTCTGTTGGGCTACGCCTACCATGTGTTGTTACAAGCTACACAGAATCATGACAACTTTCTCCGACAACCATACTGCATCTGAAATCCCAAAAAAATCATCCAATTTACATCATGCCTGCATGCACACTGCAAATTGTGAGAATAAATCAGTGCAGGAGCACAACTTGAGTTTCAATTAAAGGAAACTAATAATAAACTAAAACATTCAGAAATCATGGACGTTAATCATACATGCCGCTGACTCTATTCTGTGTCCACATATTCTCAAGCCAATGCTGGAAACATCTTGAAGTAATATGGTAAATGAAATATAACTAAAATATTTAAGGAGAAATAGCATAAGCTAGCAAAATATATATTTGTAAATCCAAAGTAGACAATATCTTACCATTATAAAATTATGTGTATAAATAACCAAAAAAAAAGTGTTCCTCCTAACAAATATATCTTTACAAAATACAAATACAAAATAATCCATGAGAAACTTCTAAAAAAGAGTTGAGGCACATCAGTAAATTTTAACTTAGGTGAAAAACTTGATTCATTTTACCCCTTTAATTCATTTTATCTTATTTTTCCCATAGCATAAATCAGTTGCTTCATTCGCATAAAGAAATCAAGTAATACTTGTTTTTAGGTAGTATGGAAAAGATTATAAAACACACAATGCTGGACAGTCTTGGGTGTTAAAAGTAACTTGCGGAATAGCAGGGTAAAGATTACCTGCAATCAACTGTCGTTCTTTCAAGCCGTGTTGAAACACATCACGGTCGGTATTCAGAATCATAATGCCCCTTACTATGAGCTCGACATCACATCACATCGCATTAATCAAAGCTTGTGCTCGAGGCCTTGACCTCATAATTGTCTCATCACTGTGTTTGATCCATTCTGAGAGTTTCCAGGGCTTCTGCCACTTCCATTTAAACTGTAGCAGCCATTGATGATGACTTCTCCTCCACTTCCAAAGTTTTCCGGCTTGTCCTATAGCTGCTAGCCTCTTTGTTGACAACTCTCCAATGGGTACCATCTGAATATAAAACCCATAATAACTTAATTGAAAAACAAATAATATCATCATCATCATCAGAGAAACAGAATGTAGCAGGGATACCTTTCGTGCTTCATCTAAAAATGTAGCTGACTCCTTGGTTGACCAATTAACAACTCCAGGGGTGAATTTGAGTTGCTTCGGAGCAGGAAGTGACATTGGAGACAATGGACCACTCATTTCATCCGCAAGGTGTTTCAAGGACCGTGAGTTTTCCTGTTGGTTTCAGTCAAAAACTTGATATAAATATAAATGAATGAAAGATTAAATTTGTAAGATCTCTTATGTGATCAAGAAACTATAATTAATCCTAGTTTAGAATATAAATAATAAATAATTGATATACATAATCAAGAAACTACAGATCTCTGTAGCTGTCTAAGGTAGGAGTTGAAACATTTGAAAACACAAGCTCGTGCTAATTGCAAATAAATGAGTAAAATCTCACCAATGATGGTGTATTCAATGAGGTGACAATGGCTTGTTCTCTTATTTTTTGCTCCTTTACATGTTCTTTAATCTGTGCTTCACTTTGTTGTAGTAGTGCTACAAGCTCATTTAGTTGCTCTTTCAAATCCTTAAGTTCCATATTCTTTTCCCATAATTGGCACCTGTCAAAGATGATGCCAACTGCCATTACTTAGAATATAGGAAACATAAAGCCTCTAAAGTTTTTCAAAAAAAAAACAGGGGGCATTTAATATAGCCAACAAAAAAACACTACCCAGGTAAAAAATCACTGCAAATGCTCAGTACAGAAAGTGAATCATCTCAGAAGAAAGGAAATCAACAGCATCTGACATCCTGCCTAGATTTTCTCAAAAACTGTCAAGGATTTATTTTTCCTTTGGACTATGTAGAAAATGGTCATATTTGTAATTTGTAAATTGACAACTCTCTCTCTAGCCAATTGATATATTAAAAAAAAAAAACTAGAAAAGTTTAATCAGTTCCTCAGAAGATTCTGAAAACACCTTGCATCTGCAGTAGCATTGAACAAATACTGAAGCACATTCTTTGCATCTCCCATTGAGCGTAGCTGGTTCCAACGACCACGGTTATTCAATGATCGTTCCCTTTCTTCTGCCTCAGTAAGTTGTGATGCCATGGCTTTCATAGCAACTGAAGACATGCACAGCATGTTCTCAAGAGAAGCTATTCTCTCAACTTTTGCATCTGGTGACATGGATAACAGCCTAACAAATGGTAAAACGAGGAAATCTTATGTCACAGAAACAGTCAATTGCACCAAAATGGAAACAGAAAGACACCAGGCATACACTAAAGCATGGAAAAAATTCTACCTCAAATATCTGCTTTTTCCCGTGTGAATACTCTGCCCATCTGAAAACTGATCCTGTTTTAGTAAAGCCAACTCTTCTTCCAGGGCAGCTAGGCTAAAAAAAAAAACCAATCAATAGTAAAAGAACATATAATTTGGGAATGTGATATATTGCACAGGAGGGGAAAAAAGGAGGAAAAATCGTGATCACTTACACTTGATTTTGTTTGTCATATTCAGCACGAACTTCATGCACATGTACCATGACCTCCAATTCCTGATCAAGCCACCTTTGGAGGGATTTTTCATTAACCTGGACATACAAATCAGGTTAAAATTGTTCTAAAACAAATCTATTAGAAATAGTAAATAACAGAAAAGTCGATTTGAAGTGTATGATAAGCAGGTGTAGAAGCTATATTAGTTTTATAATGTAATGAAAGAAATTCAACAGAAGAATTACATCAAGTACAATTCAAATCAACTTGCAAGCCTGATTTAATAGCTCATAGAAAGATATCAATTTCTCAAAGTCAAAGGATTCCTAAGGATGACACTGTTTCACTTATGGTAGGTTCGAAGGTAGCCAGCAAAAGCATACCAATCTGAGTTGATTTTTTGCAAAAGTTTTTGTTGACTCTTAAGCTGACAAAATGCATAATATATAAGCTAAGTATAGGTAATTACCAGCCCGGGCTGTAGATGTCCATTTGAATAAACTGAATGAGACAACAAAATAGTTAGGAAACTAGAATATATAGTAAAAAGAAAGTTATTCCAAGTCATGTTATACCAGAGTTATCACGGGGAGAAGATTTGCGGGCTTCCAACAATTCCTTTAGCCTTTTTGTAGCCATTGTTGCTTCCTCTGTCTTCCTTTGAAGAACCTGCAAATAATAATTAACCATCTACTATCAACTTCATTCTCATTCCCTATCAATCACACGGCAATTTCCCACCTAATTTTAAATCTTTAAATTACCATTTTTTGCCGCTGGTTTAGAGCCTCAAGCTTATGTCTTTGGTACTCATTCTTTCTTCCCTCCTTTTTCAACTGCTTAAAATAAACAATAAAGATTAAAATTATGTTTATATGGCAAAACCACACATAATAATACAATTTTCAAGCACAACCACAGCATGAATAATTTTTATAGGACAAAGCCATTGCAAATATGCAGCATTTTTCTATAGATCAATAACCAAGTATTCTTGAAATAAAATAACAGGGTCAACCAAGTACAAAGCACGGAAAACTTAAAAGAAAAGTCTATTTTATGAAGTATTTCAATAACTATATATAAAACAAAGGAAAATACTACAATTCCAGAACAAATAAAAATCTTAACTTTAATAAATATGCTTGATAAGAAACAGAAGCCTAGAGAAACAGTATTTTATTTAAATATCATGTAGTTATTTTTGTCACTTTATCTTAAATAAAATTGTAGTTCTCGAAGGCCAACTCTCCCAAAAGTTTAAGCCATTCAGCGAAGGCTTACAAATGGTTTTATATCTACCTTGTCCCCTCACACAACAACCCTCTGAGCTTGAACCATGGGTAACATAGATCCATCTTCTTTTGTGCAGAAATTCAATTTTTATATATAAAAAAAAAAAAAAAAAAAAAAAAAAAAAAAAAAATGGGAACTGCAAGGATCAAACTCCTGACCACATGGTCATAGAGGCTAAAATACCATGCCATGACAACCATCACAAATTTTTAAAGTTGCTAGAACTAAACTCTAATGGTTTTATAACTAAAGCAGTCAAATGCAATATGCAATCACGGATTCCATAATTTGATGGGGGTAAGAAGCACATAAAGATTACAACAACATTCAAAAAAAGTCTGGCATGGTTCATGTTTTGAGACAACGTGGACAGTGAAAGGTGTGCACAATGCATTCACTGTAGAAACAATAGGCCCTCATTTTAATCACTGTAACGAAAATTGCAAGTCCTCTTTATTTTTAAACTATAAAACAAAATTATGATGGCAAGTGACATCTTTATAAAATTAAGAAAATCACCTGGAGTAGCTCCTTCTCACGAGAAGCCTTCCATTGTCGAAATTGTTCTGCCTCTTGCTTCATTTTATGCTGCAACTGAACCTGCAATATATACAAATACGAATGTCAGATATGGAAAAAAAAAAAATTGATAATTAATCAGCTCAACAAATGGAAACAGGCCTTCTGAGCCTTGATATACTGTATCTCAGCCTGCAGTCTTTTTGCAGCTTCTTCACTCTTCTCCTTTTGCTTTAATAGCTGCACGTGGCTTTCTTGTTTTTTCTTGAGGTCTAAAATCTGTCGTTTCAATATTTATAAAAAAATGAATGAAAAAATTATTGGCCAAGAATGACAACTTTTTGACTCAAGAATGACATTAATGCAAGCCAAAAATCACCTGTGCTTCCAATGCTTTCAACTTTTGGCCACGAACATCATGAGTTTTGTGTGCTAGTCCATCTGAATTAGTAGCAAGACTCTCTACCTCGTGCAATAAACGGTCCCTCTCTTCCTGTTAATGAGTCCAAAATCCATCACCAGGATAAAAATAGAGACTTCTTGGGCGGCACTTGATAGATATTTAAAATTAAAGGAGTCCAGTTCAACCTGCACTTTTCTTTTCTCCTCCTCAAGTTCCATAATTTTCTTCCCGAAGTGCTGTTTGAGTGCTTCAGCATCAACTCCAATGAGCTTCATCTCAGACTGCGAGAACAAAAGGGTGATAGATTTAGATACTCAATAGAAATTACATCTCTCTGCTTTGATCATAATAGAGAATGATATAGAGAAAAAAGCCTAATGTTCACCCAGATAAGAAACACCATAAAGTTCAACACTGCATCTAAACATGTATTCTTTGTGGCCCTATGGTCTTGGCATATGGATCAATTAAATAAAGAACTAACAATTCCAATACCCTTCCTGAACTGCTTTTTGGAAGGTACTAACTTGGCTAAACTTTGAATTCTTTTGTACTGACTTCTCAACAGTTATATAGAGCCCACTAATGTTGCTTCTGAGAGTGAGAGATATATTAATATTATACATAGATTCACAAGTTCACATCTCATCGAATTTGATGTATATAGCATAAAATGAATTCTGAAATGAGCATAATTAGATTAAAATATAACTTTCTCAGGAGATATTTATAATCACTCATATACAATTTCAAAACAAATATAAAAGTGAAACCTCTTTCTGCTCCAAGCGCTTATTCAACTCATTCATCTCTTTATCCAAGGTATTTTGTAATAGTACATGCTCCAACTCTTTTGCTGCTTCATCAGTTTCTCTAGAATCCTCACCTGCAAAATGGGGAGAGAGGAGATAGTGTCCAAATGTTGAAGACTTGGCCAAAAGTATCAGAGCTTCACTAACAGAATGGGTAACAATTGTGTCTCAAACACATAATACAACAACCAAATATCAAGCCCCAGCTTAATCTCATATCATTCATCTTTGGACTCTAGTTCCCATGTATGGAGAATGCACACCTTCCATTAATGAGTAAATCCCTATGTATTATAACTCAGAAATAAGAACCAGGTAAAAAAGCTCATGTATTTTTCCAGAAAAACAGAAGCAGGGGGATGAGTTATCTGTTTCCTCTCCAGCTCTACCAGGTTAAAATTCCTATATATTGAAATTCTTAAATTATAAAATCCACTAGGTTCTTATGACTCAAAAAATACAGGTTAATAATGTATACCTGATATACTTCCAACCATGGGATGATCAGATGAATCTAAGCTCTGAATGCACCTCTCAAGCCCATCAGTTTTCATGAGATAAATGGGTCCGTCCTGATAAAAGGGGAAAAAAGAAGTCAATTATGTCGATGATATTTAATCAACATAAGAATAACAGACAAGCATTTAAATTACAATTTTTCTATTCACATACTGATTCATCAACTTCACATCTCTCTACAAAAGCACATCTACTGCGATATTCATGAAGTTCTCTGTAGAGATCCTCGTTAGTTGCCTCAAGCCAAGCAATTCTTTCCTTAAGAACCTGCACAAGAAGAGCGGCATGCTATGCATAAAACTAAAATAATCTCGTGCTAATTTAAAAAGCAAGTTCGAGTTATGATAAATACCCGCATTTCATCAGCAGGGGCTCCTCCACGAGAACAAAGTTCAGCCTGCAAGTACTTCAACTGCTGGCGCATTTGCTGCATCTCATTGGATATTAGATCTCGATTAACCTGTAAAATTAACAATATAGGTTATAACATGCGGAACTTGATCAGAATGAATTTCCTTATCTTCCTGAGGCAAAAAACAGGACAAAAACTTACGAAACAAATAATTTTGGAAACTTACAACAGGCTTATTTTGAATATTGCGAGCACGATTTGCATACTTGAGAGTATTGAGAGATTCCTCAGCATTGACATCAGCAGGACTTATGCAAGCTGGAAGAAGGGGAAACATTTTGTTATTGAAGAGCATGTAAAAAAAATAATTATTTAATATGGGAAACAACATTATATATTTATCTATATATGACAACAATTCATTATCTATATTAGATATACACAATACAATACAGTATCTAATAAATATGTCTAAAAGGACGAAAAGAAATCTTTCATTCATCTTGTAAAGTACAAAACCAGCAAATGCTTTTATGTGAATAGCAATGAAATTGGCAGAAATGTCTGACATCAGAATCTTTTATGTCAAACAGCATGATGAATTATGTATGTGGTCCAATTTCATCTTGTCTTCAATGGACCTCCCCAATGTTTTGACCAACTGTTGCTCAATCAACAAGTCCGTGAATAAATAAGATGTGTTCCTAGAGTATCTTTTACTGCTTGACCAGTTTAGTATAAATGGCATGTAAAAAAGGGCATTATTAAGTTTTCTTAAAATATAATAAGAAAGATGAAAAGACTGCCCATCTAATTTTGTGGTATATAATAGGAAGATACCCAACATGTTGAAAAAATGAATAGTCTTCATGGACCAAGAAGCAAATAAATGTTACTACAAGAACTTGAAATTAGTTAACTGGTTCATACATTAATCAAATAAAATTTCCCCCCTGCAATAAGCTGGCTTCAACTAAAAGTCTAAAACAAAATGAATTGAAGGAGAGGAATATTTCATATTTTAAGTGGATTGAACACGAGTAAAACAGGAACATACTTAAACACACAAATATTTGGAGCCATGAATCATCTTTTAGCAGTATTACCTATCATCACAGTTTTGCTGTTTCCACCAAGTGAATCCTGCAATAAGAACCAGTGATTTTGGATCAAAAGATAAGAAACTAAGAATTCTTGGTTCCTGTCTTAAATGGAAAGGGTAAGCTCTAAAAAATGTCAATCTAGCAATGTCCCATATAGTAGATACAGATAAGCAGTAGCTATTATTTTGTAACACCAAAATTTAATTATTCAGTACCGAATACTTCTATTTGAATTTTGTATTAAGTAGATAGTTCCTTGAAAACTTTAAAGCCACAAATAAGTTGTAGTCAAGAAATATTTATGCAGGAGATAGAATCCCTCAAGCTTTGATTAAACTTTGAAATATATAAAGAATATATATGTTAAGATACATAATCCATAGCAAGGAATTTTAAAGACCTAGTGTAATAGCACCAAAAAGCAAAGCTATGGCAAATCTTATTTCAAAATGGCAAAAACATGAGAGGAGTGGTTTATTGGGAAAGGAGAAAATCTTGATGTTTAAACCTTATATTGATAGTGTATATATGACTAGTATGTCAAACAACAAAATGTTACTCTAACCTGTAAGAGTCGAGTGAGTTTGCTATCCCGATAAGGAACATGCACACCCTCCTTTCGCTTTTTCTCATCCCCCAGCGCACTTATGACATTACCAAGAGCAAGAAGACCTTTATTGATGTGAATGCCTATTATAATAATAGTCATTAAATCCTTGTCATTATCAATTTCAATTATTGAAACACTCTGACACTATTTTGAGATAGATATACAAGGTATTCAGGTTAATCATGTATTACCAACCTTCTTTCAAACGCAGACCATCAGAACCTGTTCTTTTAGCTCGTTCGGATCCAGCTAGATCTACCAAATGGAGCTTTGCTGAAAGGTATTCTTCACCCATATCCTCGTCTGAAGATTCATTGGTTGGAGAAACAGAATGGAGTTTGTGCATCTGTTCTAATGTAATTGTGAAAATGGCATGTGACCGACTAATGCAAACAAAAGAGGAACCACAAGTTATTAGACTAAAAAGATTAAATAGAAACCATAGAAATGACAGCATCAAGTATCATTTATTTATTATGAGGACAAGGAAGAATGGGAACTCATTTACCTGGATTGGTTGTTCATATTTGTACTTCCTGTTGCCCTGTTTAAAGAACCCTGCTCCAAGTAACCAGACATCTCCTGTAATGTACTTACAGCAACTTCAGTTGTTCCTGCCAGTGTGATTACTCCATTTGATGTTTCACGAATTGTTATTGGTGACTTCCCAGGAATAGTTACTTTTCCAGAATGGCCGTTAGAGTTAGAGGTTTCTGATTTGCCCATAGATACTGCATCCAACAAGTCCCTCACCTCTTCCTTCAAAATCTTCAAAATCAAATGCATAATTAAGACCATGACAAGCATAAGAATTCATGGAAACATATCCTTTTACTACAAAAATCAATGCACAGGCACAGCCAGCCACTTTTAGATTTGGAGCATTGTTTCAAAATAAACTGCAGTGCGGAAAACATTTCACATGGAACATCCATAATTTGACAAGTTATTTACTGTACAAGGGTTCAAATTTAAAAAAATAAACTTTTGAACATATACAAACCAGCATAGCATAGTAGATATATACCTCAATGAAGGAGACACGCAACTGAAATTCTGTTTGATTCTTTAGTGTTTCAATCTTGTTGAACAAGGCATTCATAACCTGAGGAATTAATCCAGTCCGACAATTGTCATTGTAGCCAGTTCCCATGGTATACGTTTTCCCGGATCCTGTCTGTGGCGAATATGTATGTCAAATACAAAAGATGAACAGAATGATCCTTCTCAACTTCAAGTGTACATGACAAGCAAATTGACCTACCTGACCATAAGCAAGTACTGTAGCATTGTAACCTTGGAATAAACCATCAACCAATGGAGCAACGCATTCCTTAAACATGTCAACAGAAGGAGATCCACCATTTCCATAAACATAATCAAATGTAAAGGAATGTGACCCAATTTGAACCTGGTCATTGAAATACCATAATCAGATTATCAGGAGCCGAGAGCACAAGAAATGTGCAGATTATCAGGGTCACATATACCTTTCCCACATGTAACAGTGAAATAATATCAGAAAATTTAAATTCATCGACAAAATTTTCAAAGCAGGTGAACTTTCAGCGTTGAATGCACGTAATTTAATGCGTGTCTCAATTCATTTAATACAATAACTCCATGCAAAGGATTATGTTTCTATGGAATTTAAGTCCATGGTCCAAATAGGAGAACGAGTTTTGTTTTATGAACACTGTATATGACATATAGCAATAATCATTTTATCTCCTGATCTCAGCTTAATAAAATAGGAGAAATTCCAAATATAATTTGGGTGCCTTGACAAAAAATTGTAAAACCAACTTGCTATAAATTTCCAGAAACGAAATTACATGCAATTGAAAAATTTTATTCCCATGGATCAATTTCAGTGCGAGTAAGACAAAGAAAAGGAACGAGTAATGCAAAACGATAAACCAATCCAAAATAGGATGAGCGCAAGTGAAAATCACTTCTAGCATGAAAGAGGAAAATGCTCACAAATAGCGACACGAGCCATCATGACTAATAATAACAACGTATAAAACCCATAAATACTTTCGAGCAACAATAACAACCCCAAATCCTAAGAAAAACCTCTGAAACTGGACTTCTAATTTTTCATTTTCAACAAAGCGATCGAAGTTTCGATAGTAAGTAAACAAGAAAGGAATCATAAATTAATTTTTTCCATTTACATAAAAAGAAAGAAAGAATCTTCCAAATGATAATTAAGCTGATGAAGACGCCATTAATTAATGAATTCATCGCTAAACGACAAAAATGACAATAATAATAATAATAACTATTATTATTATTATTGTTAATTAAAAGCTGGAAAAAAAAATTAGAAAAGAAAAATTGGGAGGAGGAAAAAGATGAGGTGAATGAATGAGCGAGTACCTGAGGCTTCCCATGCGTGACGGAAACGCATTCAACGCAACCTTGTTGTCGTTCATCGGCAATGAGAGGACGAATGTGAAGAGCGACTTTGACAGAGCAATTCTCCGATGGTTCCATGGGAAGCGAGAAGCGCAGAAAAGAGCGTGAGAGTGAACAGTTAGTTAGGAGTAGAATGAAAGAAAAGGATGCAGCAGCAAACAAGAGAAGGAAGGTGGATTTAACAGCAAGAGAGAGAGGAAGTGGTGGTTGTTGGGAGAAAACGAAGAATAAGAAGAAGAAGAAGAAGTTTGAAGAGTAGCGGAGCAGAAACCACTAAGCAACAACAACACTATCGGTGTCACTTTTCTTCTCTTTCACTACTTCTCACTGCTCTATCTTCTATCTTCTATGGAGATGCGCACACACGCACACTCTTTCTCTCACTCTGCAATGCCTCTATTTTCTCTTTTTTTATTTTTATTTTTTTAATTATTTGATGAGTTGTTTTCTTTCTCTTCTATTCCTCGTGTCAACAAGTCCCGGCGTCCAACTGTCTTGACTCTTCCCCTCCCTCTCTGCCACTCTCTTTTCCCTCCATTTATTTTTTTATTTTTATTTTCATTTTCATTTTTGTCTTTTAAGAAAACACCACCTCCAATTGCACAAGGACAAACCAACTCCTAAATCCTAATTTATTTATTATTTCATTTAAATAAACTACAGTAATGACCAACGGTATCGTATAATGTGAGTATAAGCTTATTTATGACTCTGTTCATGCTGTGTGGCTTGTGAGTAAATGATGTAGTTGCATTTCCTTTTCTTTCCTTTTTTTTATTTTTATTTCTATTGCTATTTATTATTGTTACATAAAGCGACACTGTTTATTGGATGGATTATGATTTTATTTTTATTTTTTTCTAGAAGGAACCTCAAAGGGTGAGATAACTGGTCTCAAGATTTAACGCGACTACATACACAAGACAGAATTCGAACCCTAACTTTGCTTAAGCGTGAATACCCCTACCGCTAAATCACACCCTTGACTATAAAAATATTTTGTGACCTTCAACTTTCAATTCTTTTTATGAAGTTGTTTTCACCTTTTCGGCTATAAAAGTATTTTGTAAAAATATTCTATCCTATGTTAAATGTTCTTTAACTATTAATTTAGGCTCAATTAATTATGAAATTAAAATTTTTGATACAGTAAATATAAATACTACTGAATAATGTTTTTAATTAAAATCAACATTTTATTTGCATAATTATTGTTAAATTAAATTATCAAAATAAAATAGCACTCACTACAATTAGCCTAATATAGGACTTGTATAGTGGATTTTATCTACATTATTATCATTGAAATACTTTTTTATCGATAAAAATAGACGATTTGAATAGTTTGCATGAGATTAAGATCAAATCCCGTTATTGTTATTGTACATACAAAATAAAAAATAAAAATAAAAAAGATAATTATTGAAATAAAATATTAATTTAATACTTTCCATTTTAAACTCTAATACTCGGTTAATGTTACATTATTTTAAAGTTCATTAGTTTAATACTAAGGTTTAATAAATATTTTAAATTAGACGATAATGTGCATAGTATATGTGATTAACATGTAGTACGTCTAATTCAAACATTCTAAATTATTAAATTTTCATAATTTTTTTATATAATTACGTTATTAGTACATGTGAAGTATTTACTAATTTTATTGATAATCTGTCCAAAATCTATCCAATTATTTTAGTAAAATTTCATTTTCTAATCATGTGTGTTACTTGTTTTATTTATATATTTATTTCATATAAATATAACATTAATATGCAATTAATTAAAACAAACCCTCCTCTCTCTGTCTTTCACTCTCTCTATATATATAAAGCAAGTTCATAAATCAAATGAATTAAATTTGTTAATTACCTAACAAAGCATAGATGTGTGTTGAAAAACTATAATTATATTTTTTTATAACTAGGTGGTATTTAAACTCACAAGTAAGGATGATAATGAATCGAATTAACTCAAAAATAATTTGAGATACAACTTGATAATTAATTTATTAAACTTGGTTCATAAACTAATTAATGATCTAAACTTGAGTTAAAAATTAAGCTTGTTAAATAAATGAGTTGAATTTTAATTGTATATATAGTCTTGTTGGGAGTACAAACAAAGTTTCATATTATTATAACAAAAAGAAGAAATGTGTGTTTATAAGCATATGAATGTCTCCATTGATATAAGTTCTTTTGAGTAAAGACCAAAAGAAAATCTATAAGGATTTAAGTCCTAAGTGAATAATATCATATTAATCGACTTAGGACAAGTATTAGACAATGTAGGCGGCGATGGAACCATATTTGGGGATCACTTAGTTGAAAGTCTTCAGGATCCTATAGAGGTCAACAACATGTCCTTTTGATGTGAGCTAACGACATTGAAAATATCTAATATGAGACCTTGTAAATTTATGAAGGTTTAAATTTAAAGTGGACAAACTCATACTAATGTAAAAACATGTGTGAACCTTGCCACCTAATAAGTTTAACTCATTCAAATCATGAATTAGCTTGATTGAATATATATATATATATATATAGGAGGGTTCAAACGACACCGGTGTAACTTATACTAATTGTTACACCGCTTAATAACTTTATATTAAATGTGAATTTTGAAAATCCAACCGTTGGATTGAAAGTTCATATCACTTAGATCATATATGTCAAAATTTGTTAAAATTGAACAACAACTTGAAGGTAATCAAAGTGTTCATATTTTAGTATATTTTGAAATGTATATATTACGTCAATTTTGTTTTATGAGAATGAAGTATCAAATCGTCTTAGATTAATATAAAATTTGACATATATGATCTAAGAGATATGAACTTTCAATC